ATGGTAAGGAGGCTCCTGGTCCTGGACATGACCTAAAACTGCGCCCTGCTGGGAATGGGTGGCCTGATGGGGCTCTCAGTGGCCCCCAGAAAATGCCAGGCAAGTTACCACCTCGGTGAAAGGCGGGTCGGGGCACCTTAACCCCTAGCCCCCACCACCGGGTGGGTAACCCCTTTGTTTATAGGGCCCAGAGGGCAGACCCCTGGAGAGAGTGAGGGGCTAGAGACTCGGATCTGATCAAGAGAGTACCCTCGACTGGCCCATGCTGGGGCCAGGACCGGGACAGTCAAAAGGGCCAGGCGCCCATTGTGAGGGACACCCAAGAGCTGAGGGCCTGGGGTCCTGACTGGCCTGGAGGTGGGCCAGGGCTGGTAGCCAAAGATCCCAGGGGGACCACACCTGAGAGGGGAAAATAGTTTCAAGGAGCTAGATAGCCTAAATGAAGGTGGGGTAGGCCGCCTGAATGGAGGGATCTTGGAGGGGTCCTGATAGAAGGATTCTGGGACCCAATGTGAGGCCGGTGATGATAAGAACACCTAGATGCCATCTGCGAGATTTGGGCTGCGGTGTAGGGGAGGAAAGCAGCAGCAGATAGCGCCCCCTGGCATCGGGGCAATAATTGGGCAGCCTCCCACTTAATTAACATCTACTAATTAATCAGTTAACATCAAGGCATGGCAGGAGAGAACGTGGGCGGTTGGCCCAAGAACAGGTGGGCAGGCCACAGAGATCAGCCCGGAGCAGGCCCCACGTTACAGAGTAGAACTGGAAAAACAAGAAATTCTTTAGGCATGTGGCTGTCTTTTTGTTCTGCATGGTGCAGTAGGCCTCTAGTATGTTATAGGCACCCTTGGGCATTTGTGCAATATAAACAATTAATAGTAATATCAAAATATTGAAAATATTTAGAGCTTGCAAAACACTGAGCATCAGACTAAATCATTCCTGAGAGAGATTAATTTGTGTTTGATATCAATGTTCCATTTAAGTGTACTGATATATCTCTTATATTGGAGTTTTGAGTAAGACTTTCTTCAACAAAGTTAAGGAATAATACTAAAAATGCTTATGCCTGCATTTCTGAGGTCTGGTCTTCGATTGTACAAGTTCACGTGAATGAATACTGACCTACTGGTGCCTGATAGGAAATGTTGGCAAATATTCTATCTAGAAATAGTGTTCTGCCTCGGATGTTTGGATTGAGTTGTTTTTCTTTTGTTTCTGTTTCAAGAGATGTGTACACCAAAATCTTTTCCTTAGAATGTCATGTGTTCCTGTTGCTTTTTTCTAAAGGAAGTTAATTCTTCATGACCATTTATTCTCCACTGCATCTGATTTAGCCCCATAATACATTAAGTGCTTTACAGACATTTTGGAGCAGGCACTGTTTGTGTTTATGAGGTTTACAGTGTAAGCGAGGGTGAGGGTGAAATGCAAAAGTTAGCCAAAACAGTTTTGCAAGAGGGTGTGGAGTAGAAGCTCCTGATATGAGGTAAGGGTGTTTCAAAGGCTATTTTAACTTGTCTTGGTGTTTTACGCAACAGGGACAGTTGAAGTTCCTGTTTTGTGCAATTATTTTTAGTAATAAGTAAGAGGAGAAATTGTGTCCTGGTAAGCAGAACTAACTCTGAGCAGAATGGCTTTAAATTTTTTTCCTGTGATGCATTATCAGATCATGATTTAAATCACTTCCTCAGAATAAAGTTTTCCAGACAATGCCAAAAAGAAAACATCTCGCATGTTGTTAACTAGAAAGCTAAAATTGCCAAAATGAGTGGGTAAAACGACTGTGGGTATTCTTTTTTTTATGGAAAATTATATGCACTCTCAATGTGGCAAATGATATTCATATAAACTTCCCAGGTTCAGAGACAAAGTAGGCAAAAGGCATCGACTAGGAATGATTATATAATATGATTGGTTCCAGTTCAGATGTGATCTATACTATTAATGTGTAAAAAGTGCATTTAAAAACGTTAGTAACATTGAAGAATCCGGCACTTGGCAGGTTAGAGATACCAGAACTAAGTGTGCATGTGAAACCTTAATTTGGCGACTTTGTGCATGTGTATTTGGAAAGGTTTAAGTTACATGATTACCTGTTGTTTTCTCCATGGATCCCTTGCCTTATTCAGTGCACAGTGTGAACCTGCTTTGCGATGCATGTGTTGTATAATGAAAGATAAAATTGTCTGCTCCGCCCCTGCCTCATATGTTGCACAAGTTGGAAAGTGTACAGTGAAATCAGTTAAAAGATTGCAGGAAGAAAAAGGGAGTTGTAATGTTTAAGGTAGTTGAATAATGCTTTAGAAAACTGGATTCCTTGCCTGCCAATGCTAGAAAGGATATGTTGCAAAAGAAGTAACTTAGACCAAACTTTTCACATTTGACCATTAATTGTGTTCCTGGTTTTCTGGATTCTTGATGTGACATTCTCTGATTTGCAGACATCCTGAGCACTCAAAACTGCAACTGAGGTCAATGGGAGTTGTATGTCCAAAGTATGAAGTGCTCCATATTGCTTGGTACTAAAAGTAGGACTTAAATAATTAAGTGCAAGGAGGCCTGGGGCCACACATTGAGTAGTGGGAATAAAACAAATTGTTAAATAGCACTTCATAACTGGCTTTTCTGTGAAAGAAGAGAGATACTGTTGAAAAAATAGTACTATATTTTCTCGTATACCACATGCCTCCAAATATGATAGTCACCTTGTGTTGGGAAGGCAGATTGAAGACAGAATTTTTTTTTCCAGAGTCGTAGCCAAATGCTGACCACGTGGAGCAGGGGCAGACCTTACTCTTTGCTTTCCCTTGCCTCGCTTGCCTTCCCTTTCCTGCTCTGGCAAAAGCTAGAGTTTTAACCCTCTTATGGCTGCTACCACCATCAAGCTGGCAGTAGCTTTTGGCTGTGTAGCAGCAGCGGCTGTGAGAGGTTTAAAACGTTAGCATGACCCTGAAGAATGGACTCTGCCCCCACCGCTTGCTGCCTGGGAGAGAAGGAAGAGAAGCACAGGCTGTGCCAGCCGTTACAATGTTCCCATGGGTCCATTCCGGCATGGAAATCAGCTTCCCCACTTAAGATGCACCCTGATTTTGGAAGGCTAACTTTTTTGGGGAAAAGTATTTGTGGTGTGCAAGTATATGTGGTATGTTAATCAAAGACTATTATAATGTTTATACACAAGGAGGCTGAAGTTGGATTCCATAGGCAACCATGATTTTTGGCATTTTCTAAAAATTGAGTGCTTGACTTTACAAACTCAGTCATGTTCCTTTAACACATGAGCATGTGGCTATGTGTTTGCATGTGTGTGTGCTCCCCCCCATTTCCTCCAGCCTGGTCCTATACCAGCGCAGCCTTCTCATCTCACAGCCTTATTAGCCTCATAGACAAAGCAACTCTCCAGTATTCAGGTTTCTGATTCCTGTCTCAGTATATTTGCCTAGTCATTCTGTATCCCCATCTGATTTTGGTATCCTGTACCCTTTCTCCTTAGGTCTTGTTCTTGTTTCCTTTGCTTTTGGATTACACATATTCATCCTTCACATTTTCTGACTAATAGGTGGCCACTGAAAGAGCAAAAGAGAGTTGCCTTTGTTGTCAGTTCTATTGCTCTGAGTCCCATGCCAGTCTGGAGCAGCTGAAGGCAGCGCTTACAAGAAAGGTCAAGCTTTATCTCTGTTGGCCCAGGCTGGAGCATGCTCAGTTGCGTTGTGAGAAACATATATGCTCAGTTTGATCAGCCCAAGGAGCTATGAAGAGCTGAAGCATGCTCAGTGTGGATAAAATCTTTGGGGATTCTCATTGTTAAGTTCAAACAGTTTCTTCCTAATCATGTACGGACTGTAGCTTTTCAGAGGCTCAAATCTTGGCCGAAAGTGGATAGATTTTCACTGGAACAAGAAAAGTTAAATCCCTGACATGAGGGATCACCCCTCTCCGATGTTGTGTTCCTGCTCCAAATCATATAGTTGTTTAGGCTTTTCAGGTAAAAAAAAAAAAAAAAAAAAAAACTAGATAATAAATGCATGAACTAGATTTATTTCCTAAAGAAATAAAAGGAGTTTTTAAACATAAAAATGATATATTCTTCCCAGCCCTTTTTCTCAGGAACAGCAAACTCTGGTTGTACTTAAAAAAAACAAACAAACAAACAAAAAAAATCACCCTGAGGCAGGCACTAAATATGGAAAAGTTCAGTATGAAACATTAAAGTTTGGCAAAGATGCAAGTAACTGAAAGCTAGGTATAATAATGCCAGGTGTCAGGCAGACTTAATAGGTAGTACCATTCGGCCTGAGGTCATGGGCCTAGGCCCATGACACAATTACTACAGAGTAGTTTACCCTGGATTTTACTCTATAGTAAGGAGCAGGCACAGGGCTCTCTTCTCTCAGACTGGCTGCTCTCAGTCGGTGTCTCTATAGGGCCTTGCCACTATCAGGCACTGTGTGGTTGTAGGAATAGCATTGAGCAAAAGACTATACTGGAATGAAATTGACTTGGATGAATGTAATTACTTTTCACTTTCTAAGGGGTAATTTTACCCAGACTAGATTGAGTTGCACCAATGTAAGGCTATATGTTGTGTGTCTGTTCCACTTTTACTACAGTTAATTTACTTCATAATAAATGTGTTGGGTATCAACACTGAGGTTCCTGGATTACCGGATCAAACTAGTTTTGTCGTGGAAAAAATAGAGAAGACAATGGGAGTCAGTGTCTTGCAGATGAGGTCATCATTACCTCATCTAGGCTTTATAAACAGTGCTGTGTGGTGTCTAAGTTGTTTCTGAAGGGCTTTATTTTCACCACCTCAAATAGCCTTGGAGAAAGAAGCATAGTATGGTAGAGCAACAAGGGAGTGAAGTAGATGTGAGAAATCATAAAAAAAAGACATCAGAAGAGCTTTCTGTATCCCCACCCCAAAATGTGGCCCTCTTGGCATTGTTGTCTTGTTCCAGTAGGGTATACTTAACTCGCTGTCTATTCAACAGAGAAATGAAGGGGATCTCTTTCACCGTCTGTGGCACATAATGAATGAAATCCTAGACCTGCGAAGGCAAGTGCTTGTTGGCCATCTGACCCATGACCGGATGAAAGATATCAAACGGCATATCACCGCTCGCTTGGATTGGGGCAATGAGTAAGTAACAGTTATAGAAGCAAGCATAATGATGTTCCTCAGTGCTTACCATTTTATGTTCATGGGAATATGATAAAATAAGAAACTGGTATGTCACAGATGCTCTGAATCTAATATCAGCTTCTCCTGAAAGCTGTTCCTCTTTCACAAATATTTTTTTTCCTCCCCAGCATATTTTATACTTTCAGAAATAAATAACTTTCAGGTTTGCTTTGATTTTTTTTTTAATAAACGTAATTATTCCACCTTGGCCCATATTACAGAGCATAAAATTGCTCTGATTTATGACAGACATGAATGTTGTGGCTTATTTTTTATGAAAACACACGATTTCTAATTGTTACTTGCTGCATTGACTTCAGTAGAACTGCACTGATGTAAAATACCTGAAGTCCTGATCTGAGGTTATTAGATCACTTGTGAGTCTTTACTGAGAGAGTTCCAATAAAACTGTCTTTTGCATCAACCTAAATATTTATTGAGGACAGTTATGTAATTTGTTACCTTATTACCTTTTTCATAACAAGCAAGTAGTCTTGTCTTTGAATTATGCTAAAGTCATACCATATCAGACTTTAACTTTAGTGTTACTTAGGGCACAGCGTCCCCACAAATGCTAGAAATCAGAAATGAATAGCATAATGTTTGGATGTTGAAAGTGATTCTAAATTCACCAAATACAGCTCATGCTGATCTTGACACTATCTTGCACAGTTTGAAAGGCTGACACACATCTCTATTCCAGACACGCTGCACATAGGAAAAATAAGCACAACAGTCTACTCGCGGCTCAATATTACTTTTGAAAACAGCAGCACAGATTAAAAGCACATTGGCACTTGCATTCAAAATCAAGACGTACTTGATGCTCTGTTCTTGTAGCTGGCAATGGGGCATAAAACTCTCACGTTCTTTCTTAAAGAAGTGCCAGCCGTTATGGTCTGGCTTGGTCCCTGTTTGGCAGCTGAATTGTTTAGATGCTAGAAATTGAAGTGAAATCTTATAGCAATGTTATCTACATACATATGTTACTTTTTGCCTCTAGCTTTTCATGATTTTGAAAAGTTGAGGTTGGGGAGTAGAGGTTTGGACTGCATTAAAATTAAACTGCAGCTCACCTTTCATACATAATTTGCTGTATGTTGCTGCTTTAATTGCTAGAATTTTTCAGATGTTTTCCAAAGTACTGAGTCCTGTGGACCTTCTGGTGAAACTGACTATTCTATACCTCTGAAAAGCAAGCCGCTACTTTCCAAGTTGATTATTATTTTTCAGTATAAATGGTCATCAGATGCCTCTCGTGTCATTTAAGTGGTTGTGGACCAAAAGGAATGTGTAAAATTCAACAGGAGTCTTTCCTTTGGCTTCAGTGGGCTTTAGATCAGGTTTTCAGTTAGGAGAATTTGAAAAAAGTGTCCAGGTGACAACTTTCAAAGCAAGAAATATTGAAATATGAGGGAGACCTACAGTAACAATGGTAAACTAACAGAAATAGAAAGCGTTAAAAATAAAGAAAAAAAGGAAAAATTAATCTGAATTGAAAATGCAATCTTCTATATCGTGGGCACATCTTTTTTTTCTATTTTCTCTTTGCATCGGTAAATAGTTTGATTAGCCATAGGAGCCTTAGAAACCATGAAACTGGACTTACTAGAAATACCTGGAGTTATTTCGCTATATTACTAAATTGAAAGAAGATATAGCACTGTTTACAGTTTTATCATTGGTATCTAAATATCACTTCTGTTTTTGATAGAAAAGGTTGGTGAATTACAAAAATAGAAGCCACAGGTAGAGGGAAGACGTTTAGTGGCTTGCCTTTATGAAAAAAGGTTCTTTTTACCTAAGTTTTCTATAATTAAAGAGAGAGAAAAAATTAAGACCAGGATCATTTTTGTTCATAAGGGACTTAATTATATAAGGCACAGAATAGTGACAAGTGCCTTTATCTCCCATTGTAAACTGCACAAATAGAGAGTGTTCAGTACTTTGCCAAACTATACATTATTAGTATTTATTTATCAGACTTCTTCCATTGAATATAATTTCCTGATACTTTTTTCTTTTACCTTTTCTTATTCCACCTTATCCACTTTCCCTTCCTGAGTCCCAGCCTAATGATTCTGAGGAAGAAAGTGGCTACCCTACTAGAATAGAACAGAAGTCATCTGGTATGGTATTCTGTTTCTGGCAGTGGTCTGTGTCTCTTTATGAAGATTTGTTTCTTCATAACATACATAGGCACTGTATGTCTCTGTACACGTGGAGTTGCAAAAGTCAACAGGAAAATTCCGACAGATAAACTTGTACTTTGAAGTATATGATTGGAATGCCTTTTAGGTCACTGTATTTTTTTTTATAGCATAGATGATCTTAACATGCATAAAAGCAAACCATTCCTCACCTACAGCATTTATTAAGTATCGATTCTGTGCAATATATGTAGTCATGGATTCTTCTGTTTACCAATTTAGCATTCCCCGCCTGAAGAAGTTTCTCCAGCTTCTTTTCTGAATATCTACTATGCTTAAAAAACCCCTCTATCAATAATGAATTTAGTGCTGCTGAAAGATGTTGTTTAGACTGAAATACTTATTAAACCCACTTGTTCATCTTGTCCAAGAGATGTCTTTTCCCCTGAAGTTTCTAATGTCTTTATATGCAGCTATTCTGTAATCATTGAAATAATGAAAAGTGTTAGCAGCGTTAGTCTGACGTCAGGAAGAAGGCTGGGCAGGGTGGTGCCTTAGAGACCAGCTGATTTAGTTAGTGTGTAAGTCAGGGGTGGGCAGAGTCAGGTCCATTGGCTGGATTGGGCCCACAGTGAACTCCATTTACCAGCAGCCCCTTCCCATGTCACTGCAGCCAATTTTCATGGAGATCCCAGCAGTGGCAGGACTGTGACAGTGTGGGGCCAGGGTTTCCATGAAGACCAGCCCCAGCAGTGCTGGCAAGGCACACAGTTGGTCAGGGAGCTGCCCTGGGGCTGGGATCTTGCAGCAGTGACAGCATGGTGTGGAACTGGAACAGAGCTGTAATCTGCTGCCTGCTGCTTCATATGCAGATGTGGATCCAGGATTTTACAAAGGGGTGGTGTAGGAGCAGTGACTGGTGTTGCAGGAGTGGTTGCACCCACCACTTCTAGTCTCCTCCTCCAGCTCCCCCATTTGGGGTGGGCAGACTGTGCCACATGAGCAGCAGCCAGAGACTTTAAGTCCCAAGGAAAATCAGAATTCTCCCTGCCCTTTCCCCTCCATGATCAGAGGCACATCCCCTTCACTTCAATTCCCTCTTCCCACACATGCTGCTGCCATTCTCTCTGTTGTTTGGGGGAAAGAGGAACTTCAGATCCACTCCAGCCTGGCTGCCTGGGGACTGGGCTCAGGCTGGGACTGCAATGATGATGGTGGTGGGTGGGCAGGGTCCCTTTCCCTGCCTGCTCTCTCTAGTGTTTCCTGCCATGGAGTTGGGGTGCGGGTGGGCGGAGAACCTGCTCACTTCTCACCATCAGTGTCCTGGGTTGAGTTCAGCTCCCACACAGCCTGACTGGAGTGAATCTGAAGCTCCCTTTGCTCCCGGGACAGTGGCGACCCTGGCAGTGGCAGGTGTGGGGAGCGGGAAGGAGAGGGGAGTGGTGCATGGCTCTGAGCATGGAGGGGAAGGGAAGGGAAATTCTTACATTCTCCAGGACTTAAAGTCCATGAATGCTGCTTCTGCTCCATGGACAGAAAGGGTGGCAGAGGGGTTGGGGTGGGAGGGGAGTGTGACTGCACCACTGTATCCTTTCTGGATTTGTCCCTGTTCATGTATATATTCAGGGCACGTTTACCCCTCAATTCTACCATGCCCAGCAGTGGTGCCTTTGGTGTTCTGGCCTGCCACTTTCTAAATTGGAGGTGGCATAGATAGGTTTGCACACGGCAGCAGGTAGACTAATTTGCTTTGTCATTCAGCAGTGCTAATAATCCCACAAAAGCACAAATGTGGCTACACTGATTCTGGTTTAGAAGTTAGACCAGGTAGAGCTGCACAGCATATTTGAGGGTACCACTGGTAACATGGTAAGTGTACACTGTGGACATGCCCTTAGTCTTAACTACTTGGTTCTGTGCTGAAGATAAGGTATGGCTTTTTTTGTTTGCTACATTTTTAATCCTATTAACACAGATATACTTCATTATTTAATTAAAAGCCATAGAATCAAACATAGATCGATAGTATTGGGTCTGTACAAAGTGAAGCTGATGCTTTTATATCTGCTGGTTTTTCTTTTTATTATCTCTTTGGGTTGTCATCTGAGTTGACACGACTCATCGCTTCACAGTCTGCTATCTCCACAAGTCAGGCTGGAGGCATGATACATAAAACAGAACTGTTTTATGCAAGACTAAAAGCTGTGATAGAACATAGCCCAATGAAAATTTCACACGGTGAAAGAGAGGGAAAAGTCATCCGCGAACTTGTATTTAATCAGATAGATACCTGAACAAAATGGTTGTTTAAGAAAAAGTATTACTGGCTAATTGAAATCCAAGCAGGATACCCATTATGGCACACATCAATAGATATAGTGTTTCCATCAAAAAAAAATCTAACAAAGAGTAATGCAGGTAACAATGAGTTTAAAATATGCATAATCCAATAAAATGGAAAGTATAAGTGTCACTAAGTATAAATCTTCCCTCTGCCATAGAATGTCTCTCCATGATTTCCAAATTCTCTTTACAGACAATTGGGTTTAGATTTGGTTCCAAGAAAAGAATATGCTATGGTGGATCCTGAAGAGATCAGCATTACAGAACTCTATAGACTGGTAGGTAAAGGACATTGTATTTCCTTAGATTTTCTCTGTGATTACAGCGTGAGGTTTCCATAGCAACTTTCATTCCTACTTATTAAATAGAAGGAATTAAATACGTTAAAACATATTTAATCTGTATATTTATATTGATAGTAAAATGTAACCTACCTTGATATAAGAAAACTTCCATTGTGATGTTTCTATAATTATATGAGATGCTTGCACTTGACTTAAACTCAACTAATGACACCATTTCTGTGCTCCACACATTATATGGGGCTGATACATCTCTGAAACTATTATGAGTATGGAATGATGCTTTCAATACTTAATCATCAGTAAAATCATATGAGACACTTTCTTTAATAGTGTAACTTGCCCCTGAGTCCCATTAGGCTAAGGCAAGATTAATGGAACTTATATAGCCATTTTATTAGTTCTGTCATTATTAATCACACTGCGGTATGGGGTCTCTTCCACTGCCATTTTAGCATACATCTCAATGAAACTGAGACCTCTTTTTTTTGGAGAGAAAATGATCCATTTTGCTTAAATTTGTAGGGGGTCCTGATCCAAATAAGCCTCATTGAAATCAGTGGAGATAGATAGATAGATGGATAGATATAAAAAATCGTTTTACAGGGTTTTTTGTTTTTAAACACTGACTAACTTAGGTGTAAATCTGTCGTTAATGTGGGCTATTTCGGGAAGCAAAAATGGGGCCTTTTTGATTACTATCCATGTTGAAATTACAAGTTGTGTGTTCATTTGGGGTTTGTTACATAAATAAAGTTAGTCCTTCTGTGGCGGGCCAGCAGGGGGTGCTCCTGCTCTGAGTGCCTCCCTGGGGACACCTCACGTCTGGCTGACCTCCTCCCCCCCCCCCCCCCCCCCCGAGCACGCGTGCAAGCCTGGGGGTACTGCTGCCGCCACCCAGGAGTCTTGGTGTGTCCACGGCCCTGTGCCCCTTGGGATACACGGGCCTTGTAGACTGTGAGGGTGCTTGACCCACTGCAAGAAATTGGGGTGCATCCCTTGGCCTGGAGCACAAATAGCGGTCTCCCTTAGTCAGCTGGACCAAGGGGACACAAAGGAACGCCCCTCTCCCTCTCTGTCAGTTCACCACGTTTAGAATGATGGAGAACCTTATTGATTACAGGGAGTAGGTCTGGGGTAGGATACAGGGTAGAGACGTATCGCAGAATAACCTTAGAGCAAACAGTGTGGCTAGGTAGCCATTGATCACGCATCTGCTATACTGCAAGCTATATATCTAGATAGGTTCCAAGTAGCTTACTCACAAGTCCAGAGGTTGGTTAAGCTTTCCTCTGGAGGCAGGCAGTTTCTTCTGTGTCCAGTTTTGAGAGGGAAGGGGCTATAGTGTTCAGCTGCTCTTCCTCTCTCCCAAGGGCTCCAGCATGAAAGCTCTTTACTTTCCAGCATGGCTCTCTCCAGCATGGCTCTGCCAAAAACGGCTCTTCTCTTGCCTCTTGGGCAGTCTGGGCTTATATAGTCCTTTTGGCCAGGATTGATTCAGGGTGATGATGTCAAATGTTGTTGGATGAGAGCCAATTAATTTGAAATGCATCATCACTCCCTAGAGGAGGGACAGGGGCTCCTGCCCCACCCCCTAGCTATTGCCAAAACAATAAAGAGGTGGAGTTCCCCCCTTGGCTACCTGTAGCTTCTCACATCTGCAGGACCAAGTCCTGAGTTACAACTCAGGGTTACATGAAACAGATGGGGGAGGACTTCCTGCCCACCCCAGTGATCGTGGCAACCAAGTTGACAGACAGGTGATACCAGTTTGGGGAGATACTGTGATGGCATTCTGCCACACCCTGAAGCAAAGATAGGGCCTTTTTTATTACTATCCATCTTGAAATTACAAGTCATGTGTTCATTTGGGGTCAGTTACATAAATAAAGTTAGTCCTTCTCAAAGTTCAAAACTTTATGTAATATTACAGAATCATATTTGTGCTTTAAAGTCTTAAATATTTTCTAATTATATGGATAAATGGTAATCAAAGGGAGATTAAAACCAGTTATGTGGAAGAACTCACTAGTTCACAAAAATAATTTAAGAAGATTAAAAAAATTTAGGGTGCCTGTACATGACTGCAGAAGCCATTCCAATGCACTATAATTACAGTGCATCGGAGTAGACTCTATTGAGTCTGCTGGAGCGTTATAGTTACTGCAATCCATCAGCCACCTGAGTCTTGTGTATTAATGTCCCCACACTTCAAAATGGCAGTGGGAGCACTTGAACTAAAGATCATCGAATGGGCTTTAGTTCAAGCACTCCCACTGCCAATTGGAACCACAGGGATGCTGATACATGAGACACTGCAGTACTCTATATAACATGGCTCTTGGAGCCGCTCTGCTTAAAGCATCGCCCCTCACCCCTGGAGCATGTGTAAAAGTGCCCTTAGTGATTAGTGAAATAATATACATTTTAAAAATAAAGAAAAAGCATTAGTTTGAGATCTTGAGTACTTTAGAAATATCAGTATTTAAAAGTAAGTTATTTTAATACAATGTAAAAGGCGGAATTAATGCAGTTTAATTTTTTTCCAGACCCTGCATTCAGTTAAAATAATCAAGTTTATAAACAGTAAATTGAGAGTAAGGGAAATAGTAGGTGACCTACAGAGTAATTTGGTATAGATTACTCTGTATGAAAGTTCTCCTAACCTTTCAATTTTACCTTTGTAACTGAAATGGAATTATGTAGTGTCTTTTAAAGCTCTTTCATGAGCTCAGGACATTAAAATATTAGATTCATAGCTATTCAAAACAGTTTTAAAATGAAAAATTGCAAGTTTAAAGTAATCATGACCTCTATTATATAGAAAGAAATATCTGGGACTATAGAAGTAAATGGTTTCTTTCCACTGTGACTAAAGCCAGGTATAAACTTGGGTAACTCATTTACCACCATTTTCTCTAGAAAAGTACATAAGCATCAATTGGTACAAAGCAAAGCATACTGCACCTAAAAGAAGGAGTTTTGGCTTAGGAAACCACTCTCAAAATTACAATTCTCAACTTTTATTATTACTTTTTATTAATAATTTGAACTCTTTCGTTTTTGATGGTGCTGTGTAGATGGAGCATCGTCATAGAAAGAAAGATACTCCTATCCCAGCAAGTAGCCACCATTTATTCGTGCAGATGAAGAGCCTGATGTGCTCCAATTTAGGAGAGGAACTGGAAGTCATCTTCTCACTTTTTGACAGTAAAGAGAATCGACCAATCAGGTAATGCTTCAATTTTCCCAGGCTTATTTCAAAACAATAATCCATAAGGATTTGTTTTCACTGAATTTTACATGATTTAGGTAATTCTGATACATTTATTTACTAAACATTATATTTAGAAACAAAAATAGAACCTTGATTATTAGAAGGGCATTAGTAATTTCCCTTTGGGACTCAAATTTTGTGCTCCTTTATTCATAATACGACTCTAGCTTCAGAATGACATGTTTTTCTCAACCAAACGTGCCCCTTCAGGATGTCAATATTGTTTTGTTTTTGTGGGGTGGGTGTGTGCGTGTGCATGTACAGTTGATACTAGCAGTGTAAATGTTGGGCTTTTTTAACATATCCTTCTGCTCAAATAGTGAGATCCTCTTAGGAACTTAGGACTGGATGGGACATCTTGGATATTTGGGTCTAGTCCCCTTTATCACATCACATAATTGCTTTAATAGGCTAATCAGGCTTCATTTTAAAACTAATTAGGGTTTGTCAGATAGTTAAGATTTTGCCCAGGCCCTGATCATTTCTTGTTCTGGTCACTGTCAGCTCTTTTATGGCCTTAAAATCAAATTACCTCTCCGTTTCTTAAAAAATACAGCTAAAAAGATCATCCACCTTGCTCATTGCTGTCAGTACCTTTCCTTGTATCCATTCACAGATCTGGCCTATATGGTACTTGAGGGCTTTTTCAGGTGATTCCCTATGTTATGATTTTTAGTCATTAGAATCAGTAGCTGATAGTGATGGTTGGGTCCAATAGCAAAATTCTGCTTTTGATTTCTTTGAAGGAAAGGGAAGGAAGGAGAAAGGTGTTGACAACATCTTCATGTTGTGGATGAAATGTCAAAGGAGCAGTGTTAGAGTTGAAGTAGATCATCTCAGAACATCTCTGGAAATGAAAGAGGATATAGTAGGCTGAGAAATGGAATCATGCCAGATGACAGTGGTTTTCGATGTTGTGAAGTCATGGAACCCTTTCACCCTATCACTTCATAACACAATGGCAGCATGCTGCTTTCTGGCCTGCTCAGACATTACCCCAGTCTCTTTGTAGAACCCCTGATGACTTATCATGGAACCCTAGGGTTCCACGAACACAGTCTGAAAACCACTGCCCATATTATGATCACACTCAGCAAATGTGAGCCTGAGGAAGAGCCCAGTGGGGGAAGAGTCACAAGGAGCCCATCTGCTAGAGTGTGTCAAGAAGTTTGAGTTGAGAGTGTGATTAATTAAATGTTTTCCTGCTCTCCTGGTTATAGAAAGAATGTAGCCCAGAAGTGACAAATTCCTTTTTGCAGCAAAAGAATTTTGGCATTGAAAGAATTTTATAGCAGACTGAAGCATAGAGATATTATAAAATAATGTAAGAGCTCAGAGAGAAATAAACCACTGCTGTGGGGTCATTAATGGGGTAATGGCTATTGTTCAGTATTGGTGGGAAGATAAATATGATAAATGTGAGTGCCTCTTCATTCCTGGCAATAAGAATTTTTGTGTCAGCCAGAAATAATGGCAGTATTTGACAAAACTATTTCTAACCATGGTTTCAAATAAAGGGCAAAGATGCCTGCCCACTGTTCTGGAGGAAGGTTGTTCTGAATAAATTGAGACATTGCTACTGAGGTCATACAAGCAACTATTGTTAACATCAAAATGGGTAGGTACTATTATGTAAGTCCAGACTGCACACTTAACAACAGCCACCAAAAGGAGAGAATTGCTATCTTGACAGTTGTGGTTGTCTCTGAGAATGAAGCATGCATAAATGAATATGTTCTGCATTTATTCCAGTATGTGGTACAAGTGAAGGATTTATTGAGAATGAGTTTCAGACTTTAAAGGAGCTGCTGGTTACAGATGCTAACGTTATGGCAGCAGTAGCAGTATGAAGTGAAAGAAACCGGGTTGCATGCTTAAAGAAAAGCACAGGTTCTAGAGAGGCTTATGTCCCATGCCTGCCATGATCTGACACTAGTTATTAATTCTTGTCTCACAAATTGCTGAGTTGTTCAATGGCTATTTGTAGCAGCTTTACAGTCCCTGAATTTCCTATCCATATTTCTGGTAAATCTTGAAGAAACATGGAGTGTGGAAAGAGAGCAGGCCAGACTCTGTGAAGGCAGCTTACCATAGGTTGAAAAGACTCCCTTGAGATGCACTGCTAAAGAGTACTGACAATATTGAAACCAACAGTGTGTGAACTCTGCATAAATGTTGCCACGGTAATAAATGAAATACAGTCCTATGTATGCTTTGTGTGCACGGTAGGATGTTCTGGTGTGCTTTGTGGAAGTGACCCATGTCTGCAGCATATTTCAGAATGCTTTAGCTAATGTCTGTCTCATTCAGGATTCTCTTTGCAAGCAATAGTGTGTTAAAAATGTAGTGAAAATGATTGTCAGGAATCAGGGCAGGTGGCAGCTTAATTAGTCCCCAAGTGGGACTGATTACCCAAGTACACCTGGTTGCCAGTGGCCTAACTACTTCTAACTGCCTCGAGTTCCCTGTATAGCATGGCTGCCTGTTGATAAACAACAGCCCCTTCACTTCATAGTAGGTTCCTTGACAGGCCATATTCCTGGCTGATTCCTGGTTCCTGCCTCCAGCCCTGATCCCTGCTTTCTGAATTGCCCACTCCTGGCACCTGCCTCTGGCTCCTGACTTGCCTAATTCTTATCCACTAGCTTGTGACTCTCTAGAGTTAAGCTCTGACTGCCAGCATCCTGCTCATCCTCTGAAAATAATTGAGGAAACTCTTATTGATATTGTCTTATAATTAAGACTTCAGATATAAACAGTATACATTTATTTTGCTTTTTCCGCCTTCAGTTCCTTAAAAAAAGAAAGAAAAAAGCTCTGCCAGGGAGCAGCAATATGGAAGTATACGTGATCCAAAATTCTAATTCAAAGTAGATTTCTTCACTCCATTGGTTACAGCATTAGTCTTGCTTAATGAGCATGTTAAGCATGTGTGAATTCTAACAAAAAATTGGATTCCTGAAATAATGCTGATCATCAGATCTGTGGATCCTTAGAGAAAAGTGTGGCACAGTCTATAGTAGCAGACAAAAGAAATCCTAATAAGAAAGCAAAGTCTTTCTTGCTGAAATGTCACAAGTCACCCTTCACCCCCACAGTTTTCTTTTGTTTGCAAAAGGCTTGCTAACAAACTTACACAGAGCTGTAAATTACCCAGATTCTGCCTGTTAGCACAGTATCTAATGTAACTTAAACACTAAAATGATCAAGACTTACTGAAAGGCTTAAATGAGACAAAGGCCCTTGGGAATGGGTAGTGAAAGCAACAGAGCATGAATTTCCCAAAAGCTTTTCATATACAGTGGAGTCGCATCTTACACGGGGGTTAGGTTCTAAAGTCAGTGCGTAAGGCAAAAATCGCGTATAGTCAAAATTACCCCTGAAAATCCCTTAAATCGCCCATACTGGGGGGGTCGTCAGGGCTTGATGTCGATCCAGGAGACAATGGACTAGGCTTGGGTGACAAAGAGCGACTCGTAGACGAAGTGGTTGGCTCTGGTTTAGCTCGAGAAGTTGATTGCATAGGCTCATCTGCTGCTGGTTGCTTTTTCTTGAAAAACGTGGTGATCAGCAACTGTCACTGTTGTCTCTTGAGCTGCTCAAACATTTCTTGGTACGGTCTCAAATAGTCTGTAATACTACGTGTGATTTTGAGGCTTTGTTCCATGGAGGGATCGTATTCAAAAATTAAATCATTCAAGTGTTTCGCTGCTTGGAACACTTCAGCAAATTTATGAAGATTCCAACTTGCTGGTTCTTCCTGTTCTTCGTCATTATCTTTGTCTTCTGTAGACGATTTTATTAGTTCCTCTAACTCTTCGTTAGTCAATGTTTCTCTATGGCCCTCAATTAATCGCCCGCACTATTTAAATTATTATTTTTCTCTCTCTTTTTTTTTTTTGCCGAGTGCGTATAGTTGAATTCACATAAGTTAAATGCACGTATGATGTGCCTCCACTGTAGTAGACTTATAAATATATTTGTACCCCAGAAATGAATTCTCCCCCAAACATGGAGGCAATAACATGCTGTGCAAGAACAGAGGTCTGTGATGCAGATCATCTTGCAGTATTTCCATTGTATATATATTGCTGGTTTCCTAGAGCTATGACTTTTAAAAAATATATTTATATTTAAAAACTGAAAATTGAGGTGATCAGAATCTTTAAAGTCTGAGTGTATTGATAAGCAACACAAATGAAAATATGTACAGCTGTATGAAAATGGCAAGCCCCCACCCCCATGAAACTGTTAGAAAGAGCTGCAGAGATTTGCTTTTTGTTAGAGCTGAGAACACTTCCTTAAATATTCATTGTAAATGAATGAAAGACAGAATTCCATATCACTGGTCGTGGTAGAGAAATAATTCTCATAGTGGTGGAAAACTACTTGGGTTAAAAGACCTGACAGCCATTAGTGGATTTAAGCCATATTTAAACCATAGTTTTTTTTCTGTAAATAATTCATTGCTTGTGTGGAAAGGAGGATGTCCCATTGTTGTTAAACTGGGAGGATCAGGATCACATCCTATCTGCTTCTACTTTCAGAAACAGGCTTTGTAATAGGCAGGGGTCTACTTAATTTATGATTTTGCAGATGTCATGGAAACTGACATCCTGGATTGTCTACGAAATCAACTTAAAAAATATAAAATAAAATGCTGGCTTCTGAGTGGGAGCAGCCTGCATGGCAGGGAAGGCACCTGCTGGCAGGCAGGCACAAAGAGCAGCAGACAAGATGGTGCCTGCCCTCTCGTACCTCCTCCCTCTACTGGGGCCTCTCCACCAGTCAGCACCAAAGGGTGGGGCTGATGGAGCACATCCAGGAAATACCATGGCATTTGCTTTTTATGCTGTGACTAACGTGCAAAAAGTGTTTCATCTCACCACAATTTAAGTAGGTCCCTAGGAGAAGGGAATGAATCACATTAAATCTACATAGTTTATCAAGTGGAA